CGCCCGGCGGCTGGGGTCCGGAGGCAAGGGAGCTGCCTGAAGCCCATAGCGCTCGGGCAGCTCGGCTCTTAAACAGAGCCGAAGCGGCAGGGGAGGAGCAGAGCCGCCATTTTCCCAGACATGGTCGGCTTTTTTGCAGTTCCCCCTGGACGGGGGTTTGAGTGCCGAAAAAACGGACATGTCTGGAAAAAAGAGGACGTATGGTAACCCTAACACACACCCCATTCCTCCTTTCTCCCCATGCCACAGCTTCTATGTACCATCCATTCCCTTTTCCCCCCATGCCAGGAGTTCTGGGTGTACCCCATTCCCCCTATACCAGGGTCCTCCATTCTCCCCCCCCCATCCCATGCCAGGGGCTTGATGTGCATCTCTTTCTCTCCCTGCCAGAGTCCTTCAATCTTCTCCTGCTAAGGGCTCAGTATCCCCCCATTTCCTCTCTCCTTATACCAGAGTCCCCTATTTCCCCCTTCTACCCTTGCCCCCATCTTTCTTTCCTCTCACACCAGGAGCTCTGTATGCTCCCTCTTTCTTCATGCCCCTGCATTCCATCATGATAGTGGTTGGGTGCCCCCCATTTCTCCCTCACCCAATGCCAGGATTTCCCCTAATCCTTCTTTCCCCACCATTATTTTTTCTCTTCTTTCTGTGTGGAAGATAAGTCACTAGGGAACCTGGAGTTAAACCCAGGTTAAACTCTAATGGGAGGATAAGCAGAAATGAGATGGGGTATTGTTATGCTGAGAGATGTATAATGGGTGACTCAACCAGTTTTTTTGCTCTCTAGAGAGTTGCAGCCGTGCTTGAAACTTCGGCTGTACTGAATAGATGGCCGGGGCTACGTTTCCCATTTTCCCCCTTCAAATTTTCCAATTTTCCCCAAAATCAGCAGGGCTCTGCTCATTGACGCCTACAACATTTCCCTCACATTTTGGAATTGATCAGCTCTGGTATTCAAAAGTTACGATGTTACAACCAAATGCCTTAAAGTTGAGTGTAGTGCCTTGCAAGTTCAGCTAACTAGTTATTGAATAAGTTCAGAATTAACCTGGCCTTCATCTTCAATGTCTTAATGAGTGTTTTGCTTTGCCTCAATGGAATACTAGTAATTTTATCTCATTTTCAGCGAAGGCCTCCACCACCTGTTCCCCCAGCTGAGGAAGATGAAGATGAAGATGAGGAAATAGTAGTAGCAATGTATGATTTTCAGCCCACAGAGTCTCATGATTTGAGACTAGAGAGAGGTGAAGAATATACAATAATTGAAAAAAATGACATTCATTGGTGGAAAGCAAGAGATAAATATGGGTGAGACGCATTTCCATCCTTTATGCACCCACCGCACTATTGAGTAAGACTATTCCCTTAGTGCAGTAATTTATATTGATTATGCCAATCCAGATCTGATTTTGAGTCACAATCCTACAGTCTGATCCATGTTCATGGACCTTTATGCCCACATGGAATCCCATTAAACCCAGTGGGGCGCTGCACAAACCAGTTTGCAGAGCTGGGGGCTTTTATGAGTAAATTTCCTGTTATACTTCCGAGTTTTTAAACGAAAAAGTACTCAATTTTAATCTTTATAGAAAAACAAACAAATCAAACACCCTCCCCATACCTTTTCCCATTTATTTTAAAGGTGTTTTAGACATCTCACATTGTCTTAATGATATTCTTCATGCTCCAACATTCACCACTTCAATATTGAAAATTGTTCAAGGTAATTTTGAGTTAGTGAAAGACAGCAGGGTTGTTGTGGTGATATATTTTGGGGAACAGCAGGCATCTGAATTCTCCTGACAATCTCAGTCAGAGTATATCCCCAGGGATGGAGTTAGGACCACCAAACACAAAGCTGGCCTGGAAGCATAGGGTTTCTCATTTTGTCCCCTCCTGCAGCTTTTTCTACAGGAAGAGTGGATCGGCTCAGTATTTTAACTTTGACCCTTCTGCATACAGTGTAGCCTCATTAGATTCAGGGAAGATGAGTCAGGATAAAAAAACCACAACCCTCTATATAATGAGAATCAGAACTGGTCAATGAAAAGGTAAAAGAGTGCTGGTGACTTTTACTAATTAGCAGTGTGAAGAACTGTTTTAAGCATGCTTCTGTATCTTGTTACCCAGATTGTATCATGATTAATGTTTATGGCGCAATGTTTCTCTTATTCTTTCTAGAAGCACAGGATATATTCCAAGCAACTATGTAACAGGAAAGAAGTCCAACAACCTTGATCAGTATGAGTAAGTGAATATTAGCATAAAAGTGGGAAATAGGATAAAATAAACCTTAAGCTTTAGCAATTGCAAGAATATATTTTAAAAATAAATCTGTATACATTTATAGATTACATAACTAAGATCAGAAGTGGAACTTTTTAAAAGATTTGAAATACATTTTTTTTCTGATTCTTCTTTTGCTATCACTGTTTCACGGTGGTGAATATCTTGATTTACAGTGATGGAAATGAGAGGAGATTCAGGCATGTACTTTTGAGTCCAAATTTGAGCAACAGCAAAGAAGTATTGCTAGAACAAGGGAAACATTTAAGGAATTTCATCTGTTATAAGTCTGTTTTGAATCTTTAATATGAAGTGGCATGGTCATCTGAAAGGAATCTGACTATAAAAGAATAAAGTAGGGTCCTTTATTCTCCACTGCACCCAAGCAATGAACATAAACAGCACAATGAGAATATAGATGACCAGAGAATCTGGAACAATAAGTCCAAATTTGAACAAAAGAGATATCAGTGTGCAGTTTAAGCATTAGTGCATTCAATCAGCTAATCAGCTATAAACAACTGGAAGTACAACAAGCATTTTACTAACAATATGGGTAATTATGAACTTCTTATGAGAGACTTGAGAGGATCGAAGTTATGAAGCTCTTCTTCAAATTAAAATTTTGTTTTAAAATATCAGGTTATGAACAAGAGCAGCCATAAACTACTGTGCTGATCTATTAAAAACTTACTAATGTTTCATATGAACTCATACTAAATAAAATCAAACTGCAAGAAAAGATATGTAAAGCAGTTTTTAAAACCACATTATTAATTCCAAAACTTTGGTCCAAATTATTTATGACTCACATTTCTATTTTTTGGCCACAGATAGATATTCTTTAGGGATTCATTTTCTCATCTTTATTAGATGTTACTCATTCTTTTCCAACATTACTCCCTGATCTTTGAGACTTTTGTTGAGAGTCTTGCCTTGCTCTGTGCTATGAAATTAATAAGGCGAGATAGGAAGAAATCATGCTGAATTCTCTGGTGCAACCACTTTGCACCTTTTCACCTACATGCTGTAGTCTGGTTCTAACCAGCTCAGGGAGCATTACTCTCGTGCAAAAGAGAGAGCTATCAGAAATTTGGCCTTCTAGTATTACTGTCTAGTGTTGCAGAGCTGATGTAGAGGCTGGGCTTGTATGCTACTTATTCCCAAACCCCAGTGTAGCAGGAGAAAGGGGGCATAGTTGGAACATGCGATACCATGCCAATCCCCAGCTGTGTTTTTGACTGCTGTGGCCCATCGGTAACTGGCATAAATTTGAACAGCCCTTTGGCTGTTCTAACCTAGCACATAGGATTGGCTATGCACTGAGCTAGCACCAAGATCAGGGATGTGCAAAGGTAAACTTTGATTCACTCCTGACGTGCACTCTGAATAGATCAGTCACCCTCCAAAATCTAACCGACAGACTCATACCTTACTAATAAGCCCAATTAGTAACTAGATGATTGGTGTGTAAACGGCCTGTTCAAGATTTAGTTAAGATTTTCAGTTGCTTAAGGTCTTTCACTGAAATGACAGCTGTTAATACACATATTTGACTGGTATTCTGGTTGTAAAGTGAGTTATATTACCTGAACTTTATTGGGCTCCATGCTTTTGTGAGAGCCTATTGAGTTTATTTCAGAACGGTTCTGTCTATAAACTACACAATGTAATAATGACTGAACCTTCTTGTAAATTCACTTTATTTCAATAGATTCAGTTCTTGTCCTCAAGTACTGCAAAATATGTTGACTCTGTTTGACTTCCTGTCTTAGTAACTACATAACACTTTGTTTTATGTAAGTTTTTTTAATTGCTAATATCTTTAAGAGTTTAGAAATTTTTTTTCAGGTGGTATTGCAGAAATCTGAACAGAAGTAAGGCAGAACAACTTCTCAGAGATGAGGTAAGTATTTGTATTATTGTATCAATCCAGCACAAAATTGTTAACAAATGAAATTCTCTTAAGGTAGCTCCTCTTATTAAAAATGAAATGATCAGTTAACTCTGACTCATGCAAATATCAGGGAGCACAAGTAAAAAAGAAAGGCCGCATAACATTGCTTGGAGCCTAAAATTGTCATTGTGCTTGGATTTCAGGATAAAGAAGGTGGTTTTGTGGTGAGGGACTCTAGTCAGCCGGGTCTGTATACGGTATCCCTTTATACAAAATATGGAGGGTAAGTTACTGTTGCCACTAATTACAGTGTCTGTTGTTTGAATTTGATTTGCATAGATACACGAGCTTATAGGTTACAAAAAGGAGATTTATTTGTTCAACAAAGAAATAAGCCCAATATTTTAAAAGGTGGATGCCTAAAATTAGCCCGCTGAATCCATAGTTAGGCAGCTAAATGTGTAACCTGATTTTCAGAGGTGCTGAGCACCCACAACTGCTACTGGGATCAGTGCAAGTTGAAGGTGCTCAGCACCTCTTAAAATTGGACCATTTGCTGAAGTGGTTAACTTTAGGTATCTAACTTGGAAGTTTTGGCCTAAATTTTACAGCCTTAATAGTGCCTTTAAGACAAAGCCCCACTTTGGAAGTGGTGCAAATTCCTACTGCACCAAAAGGGACTCTGAGACACATTGTACTTAAAAGCACTGCAGTGCCTCTAGGAACTTCAGGTAGAGCACAGCCAATGATACCTTTGAAGTGGGTACACATGCTTTAATCAGTTTACCAAAGGACCAGTGACACTGAACAATACATAGGGGTGAACCCACTCATCATCGCCTCCTCTGGACACAGTACTGCCACTCTGGGTACTAACCTTACACAGTCTTTGAGCTCCATGACCACAGTGATTGTTTCCAGCTGTTGTATGGGGGGACAAAGCAGGTGGCCATTTGTTCTTTCTTATCCATCTGACAGGGCTAGATGCAGTTTTATATGCTGTTTTTTTTTTTTTTAGTAGTAAAGTCATAGAATATCAGGGTTGGAAGGAACCTCAGGAGGTTACCTAGTCCAACCGCCTGCTCAAAGCAGGACCAATCCCCAGACAGATTTTTACCCCAGTTCCCTAAATGGCCCCCTCAAGGATTGAACTCACCCTGGGTTTAGCAGGCTAATGCTCAAACCGCTGAGCTATCCCTCTCCCCATGTATGTATAGGTGATTTCATTTCCTATTTAACATGTACCTCTCTTCTGGATTCATTTCTAAAAATGCCATCATATTTTAATTCTTGTTTTTTAGAGAAGGTTCATCAGGAATAAGACACTACCATATAAAAGAAACAATGACGTCACCAAAGCAGTACTATCTAGCAGAAAAACATCTTTTTAACACCATTCCAGAGATAATTGAGTATCATAAACATAATGCAGCAGGTAAATGAATCTGATTTTTCTGTCAATTAAATAGAAGCAAATTGAATAGGAAGATGATGCCATCTTAACATAGTCTCTCTTCAGACTATAAATGCCCTTTAAAGGGACTATGGGACACTGCCTTTTACAAAATTTCCTGTTTATTGCGTCACTCTAGAATGTTTGTTAAAAAAATTCTTCTTTCCAGTTCATGAATAACCTCTAAATTTTACACATTGAACAAACTCCTCATAAGTAGGGAGTGTTCAGAATTATATAGTTGTTTCTTTTTACTGTACTCTCTTTTCATTCAATTTTGAATCCATCCAATATCTTCCATTAACTTACTACACAGTGGACTAGATCCTGGGCTAAGGTTTAGGGACAGACAGGTAAGACAATGGAGGGTCTCCAAATATGTTGAAAGGCTCACCTCTGCGTTCCCCTGATCCTGATTCTGCTCTGTGCAATATTAGTACCGCAGAGTAACCTGAGGGCTTTAGCCAACACAGGCTACTAACAGATTCAAGGGGCTGAATAGGCAGTTGGGAATTGGTATATACATATCCCAGCAACATCCTCTATGCCAGCACTCAGGAAGGGGTGGTTTAGGAACCTATACACCAGCCATATGGCACCAGACAATCCTGCTGGCACTGTGGTGATACTGTAGCTGGTTATGCTAGCAGACAGAATCCACTGGCCATTTAGCACACACTCCAGGATATTGACCAGTGCACAGAAATTAAACAATGCAGTGACTTTCACTCAAGTCCAGACAGTGGTTGATCCCATCTCAAAGGATATATTTTCAAGATGCTTACATCAAATTTGAGGAGACCTGGGATCCCCTGAGAATTATCTGAGGACATTTTCTTACATTATTTGAATATAAATAATTCTAAACTAATAAATCTGGAAGCAAGAGAAGTGCAAATTCCTCTCCTCCAAAACATAACAATGATTCTTATTTATTGTCATAATTTTAGTTCATTTTTAAAAATTATTTACTTGGTTATTGTTCCCTCTATTTTATCCTTTACTTATTTACTGTCTTTATCTTTTCCTAACCAGGTGTTAGGAGAATATTTAGTCAAAATGGAGTTTGAATAAAAGGGATTTTATGTGAGTGACTCTTGTTATTATAAATGGGAGCTGCATGCACTAATCACCAAACATACTGATGAGACTATACCTTTTAGAAAATCTTTCCAACTTGAGCTACAGTTGGCGCAGTCCCTCCTCAACAGCCAGTGGTGTTATTCTAGATGCTAAATGTACATTATTTTAGCAATAAAAAATACAGACAACATGTAGGCCAAATTTAAGAGTTCTTATTTTCAGAGGAGCTGAATGCTGACAGATTCAATGTTTAAGAACATAAGAACATCCATAATAAGTCAGACCAAAGGTCCATCTATCCCAGTATCCTGTCTTCTGACAGTGGCCAATTCCAAGTGCCACAGAGGGAATGAACAGAACAGGTAATCATCAAGTGTTCAAGACAAAGCAAAGATGTACAATACATCAAGAATAAGTTCAATTCTTTTTTTTCTAGAAGAAAGAACTGTCACTATATTCTCACTTTTATTTATTTATATATTCTGTCCCCCACTTGCATTTACCTGTGACACAAAGTACCTTTCCTAGACCTGAAGAAGAGCTCTATGTAAGCTCGAAAGCTTGTTTCTTTCACCAACACAAGTTGGTTTAATAAAAGATATTATCTCACCCAATTTGTCTCACTAATCCTGGGACCAACATGACTATAACTACTATATTCTCATGGTTATCCGGTATTATAATACACAATAAAAATATGAGTGACTTGCTGCCTAACATTATTTTGGGGTAGACTATGTTCCATTTATAAATTTTCTCCAAATTTTAGGTCTTGTTACACGGTTGCGATACCCAGTGACGCCAAAGAAGAAGCCTGCACCAACTACTGCAGGGTTCAGCTATGGTAATAACACACCTTCATAAATATACAGTAATTTCCTAGAAAGTGAAATTGTGTAAATCTAAATTGACAAAATATATACTAAAAATGATGGAAATCTCTAATTTTATTTTGTGACTGTCTGGATTAATTCTTTAAAGCCTCACAGGAAGAATAGATTTGGAATCCAGGTGTGTCAGTAAATGCAAGGACTACATTGCTCCTGAAGGAAGTGGTAGGAGGGTCTGTTCCTCCACAAGAATTCATTGCCCCCCTCTATTGCCCTTATGGATGCCTTGTGATCTGCATAGTTAGAGGGCCATGCCCTTTCCTCCTTTGCAGGCCCTCAAGCTCTTTCCACTACTTAAATTTGGCCATCCCATATTTTGTTTTGGCTTTCTGTGGGGTGGGATGGGATGGGATGGAATGGAATGATCTGGCTCATACTTAGCACATCTAAGTCTGTGCATCTCTAGTTTATGATGCTTAGATGAATTGACAAAATTTTAGATTAGGGCAGTTTGCTGATTCAAGTCTAATATAAGTGATAATACAATGTCAATCTATATAATAGGAGTCCAGGATTGGCACTCTGTATCACTCTGAAGCCTGTTACATCTTAGAGTCAGTCTGAAACGATAGAAGCAGCTACAAGCATGGTTGAGAATTCTTTTTGTTCAGAATACCACCAGATTCAATCATCACTGGATTTTGCAGTCAGCTACCATCCAATTTTTAAGTTCTCAGTCACTTTGACTTTATGAATTAAAACAGTACATCTATGCAGAGCCATCCCGTCCATAGGATGGACTGGAACAACAGGCCCAGGCCCCACGCTTTGGGGGGCCCCATGTTTTGGGATGCGAAGTCCAGGGTGGCCTAGGAGGTTAGCGGGGGGCCTGGCACCGGCAGCAGCAAGCGACCCAGCCCGCTCCACCCCGCGGCTCTCGGCGTTAATTGTGGGAGAGGGCAGAAGCTGGAAAGAGACAGGGCAGGGGCTTGGGGGAAGGGGTGGAGCAGGTGCGGGAAGAGGCGGGGCAGGAATTTGGGGGAAGCTAGGGATGGCTCTGCATCTATGCCATGCCAAAAATCTTAGACCATTGTGATATCAGAGGTAACTCAACAGTTCACCATCCTTATTCTACAACTAATTTGCATGCCTCAGTTTCACTGGTTGTATTAGGGAGATTGCACAGATGGTGGATTAGGATCATAGAATTTAAGGCCAGAAGGTACCACCAGATCCCTACTCTGACCTCCTGTATATGACAGATCACCACAGTGCCCAGCACCCACACAATAAACCCAACAACTGAAATTAGAACAAGATATTACAGCCCTCAAGAGACTAAACTATGTGGATTACTTGGTCCAATTGCCACAGCTGTGTACCCAACTGCCACCCGCACAAATCAACACATTGCCCAGCACCACCCCACAAATCAAAACAACCATCCACACAATACAACCAGCATACATAATAAACCCAAACACACAGAGCCCCTCTCTTCAGCACACACTCCTCATCTGCCACAAATCCACACAACTCTTCCAATGTAACACAATCCACACACAAATCAATGCAGCCATCAACACAACAACACAACCACTACACACAATAACCTCAAACATCACTCTGAAGCCTAGAATGTTTGTTTGAGTCAGTGTGAAGTGATGGAAACCACTATAAGCACAGTTGAGAGCTCTTTTTGTTTAGAATGGATTTATGGAAAATAAAACCTGTCAAGCTAAGGGGATATCTTTTTTTGATGAGATTACAGTTTGGTTGTACAAGGTAATAGTGTTGACATAATATATGTAGACTTCTGTAAGGTGTTTGACTTGGTACCACACAGGGCCGCCCAGAGGATTCAGGGGGTCTGGGGCAAAGCAATTTCGGGGGCCCCTTCATAAAAAAAAAAGGTTGCAATACTATAGTAACATGTCTTTGGAAATGTAAAAAATAACCAGTGAAATACATTCAAAAATTAATTTTTAATAATTTGAAAATACACAAAATACATTATTTAAAAACATTAAATGCTTTAATGGTATGTATACATTTGCAATTACATAATGGGCTGTCACTGGGTGATAGTGATGGTTGGTGCCAATGGGCTGTTGCTGCCTGGGGTGGCGCTGCCGTTTGCCCAGGACTGGGTGGGGAGCTGGGCTCTGGGTCGGGGAGTGCCCGGCTCGGAGCTGAGGGTCTGAGCTGTGGGGAGGATGGGGTTGGGGGGGTGTCCGGCTCAGAGGGGCTGGGCTCAGAATTAGAGGTCAGGGCTGTGGGCGGGATGGGGTCGGGGAGATGCCCAGCTCAGAGGGGCTGGGCTCGGAGCTAGGGCTGTGGGGGGGATGGGGTCGGGGGGGTGCCCGGCTCAGAGGGGCTGGGCTTGGAGCTACGGGTCAGTGCTGTGGGGGGTGCCCGGCTCAGAGGGGCTGGGCTCGGAGCTGCGGGTCAGCGCTGTGAGGGGATGGGGTCAGGGGGGTGCCCGGCTCAGAGGGGCTGGGCTCGGAGCTAAGGGTCTGGGCTGTGGGGGGATGGGGTTAGGTGGGTGCCCGGCTCAGAGGGGCTGGGCTCAGAGCTGGGGGTCAGGGCTGTGGGGGGGATGAGGTCAAGGGGGTGCCCAGCTCAGAGGGGCTGGGCTCGGAGCTAGGGGTCAGGGCTGTGAGGGGGTGGGGTGTCCGGCTCAGAGGGACTTACCATGTTGCTTACCTCCGCCTTCCCTCTCCCAGAACCTCAGCGCGCCGCGTCCAGGAGCGGCCCTGGACAGTGCTGCAGCGGCGTGGTGGCTCCCAGCGGGGCCTGAGCTCCCTCCGCTCAGTCACAGCCCCGCCCCCTTACCACGCCGCTCCGAGTGACGGGAGCTCAGGCCTCGCACGAACCACGCTGCTACAGCGCTGTCCAGGGCCTTTCCTAGACATGGCGTGCTGAGGCTCCGGGAGAGGGGGGAAGGCGGAGGCGGGGAGGAGTCTCGTGGGGGCCCTGGTATCACATGACATTTTGATTAATAAACTAGAACAGTATACAATTAACATGGCACACATTAAATAGATGTCTAATAGGTCTGAAAATGTAACTCTAAATAGGGAATCATCATCAAGCTGCTTGGTTTCCAGTGGGGTCCAACTTGGATCAATTCTTGGTCCTATGCTATTTAACATCTTTATTTATAACCTGGAAGAAAACACAAAATCATCACTGATAAAGTTTGCAGATGACACAAAAATTGAGCAAGTGGTAAATAATGAAGAGGACACTGAGGTGCACTGGGTGCAAGCAAGCAATATGCATTTTAAAATGGCTAAATGTAAATGTATACCTCTAGGAACAAAGAACGTAGGCCAGGCTTACAGAATAGAGGACTCTATCCTGGGAAGCAGTGACTTTGAAAAAATGTGTGGGTTGTGGTAGATAATCAGGTGACTATAAGCTCCCAGTATAATGCTATGGCCAGAAGAGCTAGTGCAGTCCTGGGATGCATAAAAATGGGAATCTCGATTAGGAGTAGAGAGGTTATTTTACCTCTGTATTTGGCAGTGATGCTGCATCACTGTGTCCAGGTCTGGTGCCCACAATTCAAAAAGGATGTTGATAAATTGTAGAGGTTTCAGAGAAGTGCCACAGGAATGGTTAGGGGATTAGAAAATGTACCTTATAGTGACAGACTCAAAGAGCTCAATTTATTTAGTTTTACAAAGTTAAGATTAAGGAGTGACTTGATTTTAGTCTATAAGTATCTCCATGAGGATATGTATCTATATAGAGATATAAGTATCTACAATATTTAATAATGGGCTCTTTGATCTAGTAGAAAAAGACATAACATGAACTTATGGCTGGAAGTTGAAGCTAGACAAATTGAGACTGGAAATAAGGTGTACATTTTTAATGGTGAGAGTAATTAAACATTGGAACACTTTATCAAAGGTCACAGTGGATTCTCTATCACTGGCAATTATAAAGTCAAGATTGGATGTTTGTTCTAGAAGATGCTCTCTAGGGATTATTTTGGGGATGTTCTGTGGCCTGTGCTATACAGGAGATCAGGCTAAATGATCACCCTGGTCCATTCTGGCCTTGAAATCTATGAAAGAATATGACCAGGTTTAATCATCACTTGGATTCACAGTCTGTTACTGTCCAATTTGTAAGTTCTCAGCTTTTTTAAGCACACAACTTTATGAATGACACCCATGCAAGAGCATGGGCTTTCAGACTAGTATTTAATTAATAGTTTAAAAAACGGAGTCTGATTTTAACCTCTGTCTTGGTTAAAAGTTTGTTGTAGGCTGTGGCTGTTTCACGATTTATGAGATACAAAGATTTTTAAAGTGGTTCTCAAGCACACCTAAATCCCCAAATTTGCTAGTAGTATTTTCACACATTCCTTCACACATTCCTCTGAAAATTCCACTTTGGATCTAATATGTTCCCTATTATAATTTAACAATCATTGTTTTTTCTTTCTTATAGAGAAATGGGAAATTAATCCATCAGAGTTGACCTTCATGAGAGAATTGGGGAGTGGTCTCTTTGGAGTGGTGCGTCTTGGCAAATGGAGGGCACAATATAAAGTGGCCATCAAAGCAATCCGAGAAGGTGCAATGTATGAGGAGGACTTCATAGAAGAAGCTAAAGTAATGATGTGAGTTGCTATATAATACTTAGCACATATACCACAGGGCCCAGGTTTCTGGTACATACGCACTTCTTTATAAATAAAAAATTCTAGCCAGGTGAGATATATACAGTAACTCCTCACTTAAAGTCATCCTGGTTAACGTTGTTTCATTGTTACGTTGCTGATCAATTAGAGAACACACTCGTTTAAAGTTGTGCAATGCTCCATTATAACGTTGTTTGGCAGCTGCCTGCTTTGTCCACTGCTTGCAGAAAGAGCAGCCCATTGGAGCATGGTGGGGGCTTGGAGCCAGTGTGGACCAGCAGCCCCCCTATCAGCTCCTTGCTCCCCTAAGTTCCCTGTGCAGCAGCCACCCAGCAGGCTATCAGTTGCCCGGCAGTTCAGCTGTCCCTACCCCCACTGCCATGTGCTGCTCCTGCCCTGCCTTGGAGCTGCTTCTGGGAGCCTCCTGCTTGCTGTGCGGGGGAAGTGGGGGAAGGGGAAGAAGGGTGCTAATGTGAGGGTGTCCCCTCCCCCCTGCTCCTGCCCCCTGCTTACCCCATCTCCATAGAGCAGGGGCACACATGACAGGGCCCTGGATGGAGGGAGCTTGCTGGCAGTAGCTGCTGTCTCAACTTGCTGATCTACTTAAAAGGGCAGTGTACTTAGAGTGGTGTCAGCCTACTTAAAGAGGCAATACGCGTCTCTCACTCACATACATGCTGTATGTCTCTGTCTCTCTCTGCCATGCTGTCTCCTCTCCCTCCATTTGTGCTGCTTTGTGGAGTATGAGGTTACATTAATAACAATGTGTTAACCCTTGAGGGCTCAACCAAGTGCTAGTTCATCATTTAGCAGTAAGGCATTCCCTGGGAAATATCTTACCCTCTTCCACCCTCTGACTCCACCACCTCAACCAAGCTTCACAGTCATCATTGCTGTGTATAGTATTAAATTGTTTGTTTAAAACTTATTTTGTGTGTGTGTGTGTGTCTGGTAAAAAAAATTTCCCTGGAACCTAACCCCCTCTATTTACATTAATTCTTATGGGGAAATTGGATTCGCTTAACATTGTTTTGCTTAAAGTAGCATTTTCCAGGAACATAACTACAAAATTAAGTGAGGAGTTACTGTATAACTTCTTGGAGGGATGAAAGGTACAATAACTATATGTTTTAAATTTTCAGGAAGCTAACCCATCCTAAATTAGTTCAGCTGTATGGGGTCTGTACACAGCAAAAGCCTATTTACATAGTGACAGAGTTCATGGAACATGGGTGCCTTCTGAATTACCTTCGACAAAAACGTGGACACTTTAATAAAGATACCCTGCTGACAATGTGCCAGGATGTATGTGAAGGGATGGAGTACTTGGAGAGAAACAGCTTTATCCACAGAGATCTGGTAATATCATATAAGCCTCTTTACTACATTTCTGATTTATGCATTAATAGTTAAGGGTAAGAAACTGTATTCTAAACATGTCTCTTTTTCAGTTACTCATAACTTTTTCAAAAATATATACTACTGTTTAACTGGTTGTGTTAATATTGAGCAAAATCCACAAAATTGACCCATCTGGGGTAAGGAGGAATGATTGAATTTGCATGGGCAGTGGATTAAAAACCTCCTAAGTGGTTTTATAAGTATAAAATTATTATATTGTAAATTCTGCACAGAAAATTATGCTTTATAATATATTAATTTCATTATTCAGAATTCTTACTAACCACATACAGTAATTTCTCCTGCTCATTTTATAATATGTCTCTGTCTCAGTAAGTAAGCACTTAAATAATGTATTTATATCTTGTCTGTTTCATCATTGACCTAGTGACTGATCTTAATAAAATATTTACTTTGGTGAGCAATGGGATGAGGTCTTGAAAGCTCTCTATCTTACACAGTGGTTCTAATATGACAGTTTTAGATAACATGTAGGAGTCTAAGATAAGTAATATACTACTGTTCCTCTAAAACAGTGGCTCTCAACCTTTCCAGACTACTGTACCCCTTTCAGGAGTCTGATTTGTCTTGCATACCCCCAAGTTACACCTCACTTAAAACTACTTGCTTACAAAATCAGACATAAAAATACAAAAGTGTCACTACATTATTACTGAAAAATTGTTTACTTTCTCATTTTTACCATATCATTATAAAATAAATCAATTGGAATATAAATATTGTACTTGCAGTTCAGTGCATAGTATATAGAACTGTAGATACAAGTTGTCTGTATAAAACTTTAGTTTGTACTGACTTTGTTAGTGCTTTTTACGTAGCCTGTTGCAAAACTAGGCAAATATCTAGATGAGTTGATGTGCCCCCGGAAAACCTCTGCATATCCCCAGGGTTACACGTACCCCTGGTTGAGAACCACTGCTCTAAATCACGGTTTCATTTGAAACATTGCTTGCTTTAATAAAAGGGAGAATCAGATCATTAGAGTTGATCTTCCTTTGTTGTATACTGTATGAATATGAAGGACAGCTATACTAATGGTAATTTTCACTGGAGGCAACAAAATTGTGTTTCTCAGAATGATGAACTTTGCTATATCATTAAGATATTAGGGTCTGATTCTCTTCTCACTTATACCCATAAATCACGTACAACACCACTGAAATGAGTTAGAACATGTGGGAAAAGAGACTAGGGCCTGAGAACATTCTGATGCACTAGAAATGAACAAAATGCTAAACAGCAGGGGGCCTGATTGTGATCATCACACTGAGTTTATACCTATGTAATTCCATTGCTTCAGAGGAACTATTCCCGCTTTACACTGGTGTAAGGGAGAGTAGACTCAGCCCCCATAGTTTCAGTTAAATTAAGTAATAAATAATATAAGCAGATAAATCTTGTCACCAAGTAGGTGTCTAATTTCTGAGCCAAATTCTGATTTTATACTGGTGTAACTCCACTGACTTCAACTGACTTTGATTTGTGCGAGTATAAGTGAAAAGAGGCTCATGCACTACATATAGAAAATGAACATGCAAAGAATGCAAGCATTGTGTTTATTTTCTCACTATAAATTATGATTGGGGTTCACGACAACAGACCAAATTGTACAGTTATTATTCATGCAGAATTCCTATCAAATTCAATGTGAGTTTTCTGAATAGTGATTGTAGAATTTATCCCAATAAACAATAAATAGAATTTCATCTAATCATGTTCTTATTTTGATCTTTCCTCATCATTAATTACATAATTATTCCCTTTGCAGGCTGCCAGAAACTGTTTAGTGAATGAGTCAGGAGTGGTGAAAGTGTCTGATTTTGGAATGACAAGGTATAGCCAATTTGACATACTTATTTGCAATGGTTTTTTAATGGATTTGGCATAACGTGTTCTTGCACTTGAGACATTACATCACTTTAAAATTACAGACAAAAATGACATTTCTTTCTCCAGGTAACTAACTTGTCTGATTTCCAGTGGTTTTGTAAATGTCTCCCTCTCAAACTACCTTATTTTGTGGTCGCAGTGTGATATTTTCTTACTTTTTAAAAAAATATGAAAAGCAAAATGATGCAGTTTGTTTTATGGTGCATTATGGTGACAGGCACTTTAGCACATCTTACATATAGATGGAGTAAGGAGTTGTAGCTTCCACCCTGCTCTGAACAGAATATACAGACTAGGCTCAACCCTCTGCTGTGCATCACTTATGGAGACTGGGCCTCTTACCAATAGGTATAATGGGCCATAATTGATTGTAAAGTGTTTTGAAATCCTTAAAGTATTGTTATTATGAGAACTCAGATACATTTGGACAATTGGATTTTGCTTGCATTGGTTACAATATTATTTTTAAAAGTCACAAGACATCCATGTCCAGTGTTGAAGAAAAACCTGTTTATTACTGTCATTAACAACTTTGTATTCAGAAAATGAAAACGGTTGTTCATGAAACAGTGTAGCTTTCCCCACTTTACCCTTCCTCTTTCTGTACCTTAGAAGTCCCTTTTTGCCTTATGCCAGTCGACACATTTGTTCATCAGGAAACCTGCCTGCTCCTTATCTGCCCTCATTAGGATAATCTAGTATAATCTCACCCATTTAAAACCTAAAATTCACTGAAATTTCCTCTGTCAAAATTCTGTTGTGGTGGGTTCTATATTTAGTCACCCTCAATGATTTCTTTATCAAAGGTGTTCAATTAGCAACTCACAAAATGATTTTTCTAACTGCCAACCCTATAAACCCACCCTGGGATCTGAAAGTCAAGATGGGCTCTCTCTTCTTGCATTATCACAAGGAATAAAGTTAGACATTTGTTCATGAAAACAAAACAGAAGAAAATGAAAACCTTCACATCTCTGGCTCTCCCCATTTCCCAATCTTCTCTAAACAGAATCTGAAAATTGTGTTGATGATGCACAAAGCACAATAGAACCTAGTCTTCAGTAGATGTAGTCAGACTGCAGGGTTAGCAGTTGTAACACATTATTTTTGTAAATAAAGAAAAGAGGACACACTGGCCCCAAATAGCCTGTCATCTGAGTAAACGGTGATGCAGGAATACTGGGAGGCACGGTGCCACAGGGTGGTACAATTTCTCTTGGAGTTTCTCTACACTTCTTGCCAGATCCACTGACGGGTCCCTGTGGGGGTACTATGAGGAAGCAATCTGAGAACAGGGACTTTGATGGTGCCAGTTGTTGTCAAACTGCACTCTGCCTGGTTCCTTTCACCCTTCCCATCTACTCAAGTTGTGCACCCACATGATATCTGAACACAAACTGTCCCATGAGCACCAGATCTCTGTTGAGTAAGAAACTGGCATTTTTCACATAGCTCTTTTCCTCAGTGTAACAATGTAATTCATACATGACCTACAGCAGTGGTTCTCAAACTTTTGTATTGGTGACCCCTTTCACACAGCAAGCCTCTGAGTGTGACCCTCCCCTTATAAATTAAAAACACTTCTAAAATATTTAACACTATTATAAATGCTGGAGGTGAAGCGTGGTTTGGGGTGGAGGCTGACAGTTCCCAACCCCCAGTTTGAGAACCCCGACCTACAGTATGAAACTAATAACTACAAGGGAAGACTGTGCAACAATGAGAAGAGTTAACAGAGGTATAAATAAAACCTTAGCACTATTACTGAAGTTTTTTTTTCAAATACACTTTGTGAGACTAACAATCACTAACCACTAGGTGGCAATGTGACTGCAAAAATACAAGCAAACATGACGTAAATGGTGATTTCAGAAACGGAATCAGACTGGAAATATCACATGCTTTTGTTTTTTAGGTACGTTCTTGATGACCAGTACACAAGCTCTTCAGGTGCTAAATTTCCTGTAAAGTGGTGTCCCCCAGAGGTTTTTAATTATAGCCGATTCAGCAGCAAATCAGATGTCTGGTCATTTGGTAAGACACTCTTTAGCAATTAAATAAGAAAATTATTTTTTTAATTCACCAATAAGCAATTAGGGTCCAATTGTTAAAGGAGAATCCAAACCTCCTAGGAGATGCTCAGTGAAGTCATTGGTCCTGATCCTTCTCTCATTTGCCCCAGTTTTCCACTGATGTAATTCCATTCAAGTCAGTGGAGTTACTTCTTATTTACACAGATGTTAGGTGAATTAGGCCTGTTGGGTAGTTAGGGGACTGAGCTTTTTCAGGATTGGGCCCTTACTGAACACATTTACCATTCAAAAAACCAAATCCATAGTTAGCGGTATACAAGTATTTTAAAGAAGTATTTGTTATTTACTTGACAATCTATTCATGCCTTTCATTTTCCAGGTGTTCTAATGTGGGAAGTATTTACTGAGGGTAAAATGCCCTTTGAGAAAAATACAAATTATGAAGTGGTAACTATGGTTAGCCAAGGACAGCGTCTCTATCGGCCAAAATTAGCTACCAAGAATGTGTATGAAGTGATGGTGATGTGCTGGCATGAGGTATATTTCTTTTTCTGTCCTTTCTTTACCCCCCAAAAGCTGAGTTTTGTTACCACACCTAATTATCAGTGTAAAATTCTGATTGCATTTTATTCAAAAGCCACCCTGCTCAACCATGAGGTAGCCTTGAGGATCCCTCCTTGTAACCCTTCCTCCAGAGGAACTCAGAGGAGAGAGTAGTGTCTTGGTGAATCAGAATAGGCAGGGTATTCCGTGCATACAGGCACTATGGAAAGAAACATGGAGAAAGGTGTGGGGGGAAAAATGAACAAGGCAGTTAAACTGCTATTGTTGATGGATCAGCAGGGGCAGAACATAATAAGAGATGAGATCAAAAATCTAGGCCAGGTTGGAACTTGGTATATTCTTGAAGGTGAGTCTTAAAATTTGAGGAGTGTCAAAGAAGGAGCCAATGGAAGATGACAAAAGGAAAGGGTGACAGGGAGAGATCAAATGGGGAATAAGAATAAGATGGTTTTAGTGGCCATGATTTACATGGAGGATGGAGAGATGGGTATTGGAGTGACCACATGGGAGCACTTTGAAATAAACAAGGTGGTTAGATGCCCAGAGGTTGTTACACAGGTAGGGAAATAAAAAGAAAAAAAGTGACGAGAAAAAATTAACGTGCAGTTATTAACAGAGAGCAGGGTAACTAAAAGTGAAAACAGGTCAATAATGGTACCAATGAGAATAGAGAGAAAAGTAGGAAGAAATGACAAACAGCAGCAGAATTAAATGTTGTAGTTCAAAAGATATGGTGCCCCACAAAGAGCTGTTGAAGGCACTAAAGCCATATGTTGGGATCTTCTGCATCAACTGATCAGACACATTCCTGAAATCGCCCACCCATGCAAAAATAAAACTTCCTCTTTCATTGACTGTGGGCCCCATCCTGCTCCCACTGAAATCCATATGAATTTTGCCATTGACTTCACTGAAAGCAGGACTGGGCCCTGTGACTTGGTAATGTTTAGTATTACTCCAATGACTTTCTGACACCATTTGTCTCACTCAACTTTTCATGTTTATTTCTTAGGGGAAAAGATCTCTTTTGCTTTATAATTGATCTAGAGCAGGGACAGGAAAAGACCAAAGGGGAAATCAGCAGAGTGTCATTGCCAGGAATTAACTAACAGGCAGCTGGTAAAAATTACAAAATCCACATACACAAATGCAAAAAGCATAAAAGCAAAAATAGTTGAACTAGAATGCCTCACAGAAGAAGCAACAGAGGGTCCTGTGGCACCTTTGAGACTAACAGAAGTATTGGGAGCATAAGCTTTCGTGGATAAGAACCTCACTTCTTCAGATGCTTATGCTTATGCTCCCAATACTTCTGTTAGTCTCAAAGGTGTCACAGGATCCTCTGTTGCTTTTTACAGATTCAGACTAACACGGCTACCCCTCTGATACTTCACAGAAGAAGAGGACCTTGATGTATCAGGCATTACAGAAACGTGGTTGAATGACAAAAATCAATGGGATCCTGTAATTCCTGGCTATAAATAAGGCTGTGAGTCTGTCCAGGTGGTCACGGCAGTCACAGATTCTGTAACTTTTTGTGACCTCCGTGACTTCTGCAGTGGCTAGTGCTGGCTCAGGGGCTGCCCGAGCCAGGCAGCCCCTGTGCCAGCAGCAACAGTTTGGGTGTGTGGGAGGGGGCTCAGGGCTAGGGCAGGGGGTTGGGGAGTGTACGGGGGACGCTTACCTGGGGTGGGAGGCTCCCTGGCCCCCCTGAAGCTCATAGGTGGCGGAGGGGCGGGGGTCTCCACTCCGCGAGCTGCCTGCACCCACAGGCCCCACCCCTGCTGCTCCCATTGGCTGCAGTTCTCAACCAATGGGATCTGTGGCAGCTGGTGCTTGTGGTGGGAGCAGCGGAGCACCTGTCCTGGCCCCTGCCTCTGCTGGCTAGGAGTTGCAGGGATGCGGAACTGGGTAGGAAGCCCCTACTAGCGCCCCCAAACCTCCACAGCACCAGTAGGGGTCCTGGGCTGCGTGCCACGGCTCGGCTCCCCCCACCCCCAGTACCAGCGGGCATCTCAGGCCGCATGCTGCAGCCCACCCCACCCACCCAGCACCAGCAGGGTCCCAGGCCACCTCTCCCAGCACCTGTGGCGCCCCCAGAGCGCCCCCCCCCAGAGCACCCGCGGCCCCCTGCCCAAGTTTTAGTTAGAGCAGGCATTTTTAGTAAAAGTCATGGACAGGTCACAGGCCCGTGAATTTTTGTTTATGGCCCGTGACCTGTCCATGACTTTTACTAAAAATACCTGTGACTAAAACACAGCGTTAGCCATAAACTATATAGAAAGACAGACAAGGTTGAAGTGGTGAGGGAGTAGTGCTGAATCCAAAATATTCCATAGAATCCAATGAGAGGACCATGCAGTTGAATGTATGGATACAAATCCCAAGCTGTAAGAATATAAATATATTAGTATGCCTCTACTAACAACCTCCAGATCAAGAAAAGGATATTGAGTGCATAACATTGAAAGAGATCAGAGACAGCAACATCGAACAAAATGCTTTTGAATAACAACTAGCCAAAGGTATTTTTAAAAATGACAAGACATTCTTCAAGCATATCAGAGTCAGGAAGCCTGATAAAAGAATCAGTCGATTTGCTGGGTATAAAATAATTCATTGTATAAAAAAGGTAGGTCAAGATCTTCTGTTTTTGCTGTCTAATAACACAAGAACAAGGAGACCTTCAATGAAAATAAAAGGTAGTAAATTCAAAACTGATACAAGTTAATATTTTTTCACACAATATATGATTAGACTGTGGAACTCATTGACACATGATTCTTGTTGAGGTCAAGAATTTATCCATTCAAAAATGGATGCATATTTATATTGATAACAAGAGTTACAATAGCTATGGCTAACAAATTTTAGAAGGGATGTTAAATTTCATGCTGCAGAGTTTAGCCAATCTCGAAAGGGTTTACAAGGAGGGACAAATTCTCACTTCTGCCTAATGAGAGGCTTCTGGCACCTTCCTCTGAAGCATCTAGTGCTGGCCACTGTCAGATACAGGCCACTGGCCTAGATGGCTCTTGGGTCTGATTCAGTATGGCAGTTCCTTTATTAACACAATAACCTTCTTCCACCTAGAAATCTATTAAGAAAAATAATGCTGCATAACATTTTCAGCATTGTGTGAGGTTCTAAATTAATTTTAGATTAATAAGAAATAGAATAGTATATAACCTCATTTTATGGCTTCACTGGGTATGAGATGTCCTAGCAATACTTTAGGTTAATAGAAATTTACCTGCCATGTTTCTTTCTGCTGCCTCTGATCTGCTTAAATCTAATGACATTTTTATCTTTTTATGCATACATTTTTCCTGCTATTTTATTTTGTACACATTATTGCTTCAGCAAAATGAAATCTTTCTGATGTGACTTTAGTAACTGGCAGTACAACAAAACATTTTAATTCCTAGAAACCTGAGGGACGCCCTACATTTGAAGATTTGCTGCGTATAATTGATGAGATAGTGGAGAGTGAAGATGCTTTCTGAAGAAGAGGAGCGGAGGCACAAGAATTCTATAGTACAGCAAAGAATCAACATTCAAGAGACATGGCATTATTCTTTAAGAGCATGATCCTGCAAACTTCTGAGTGTTGCTGAATAAAGTGTGGAGAGCCTAAGCATTAACACTTAGCATTTCCTCAGCAGTCGTGGAGAAAGTTCCACATAATATAAAGAAACATGCACAATATATTCACCAACATGGGCTGCCCGTGTCTGCATTCGGAGAGGCTAGTCCCCTGCCGCCTGCCCTTTTTGCCTGAGGCCCTGCCCCCATCCAATGCCTCGCTCTCACCAACCAGTCTTCCAGCGTAGCCCTGAACTCTGGCTGGTGCCCGGAACAGCCCCGAGCCTGGGCTGGCCTGCTAGCACCCGGAGCAGTCTGGAGGAACCCTGAACCCTGGCTGGCCGGTCAGGGCCAAGCCCTGAGCCCGGGCCTCCCAGAGGAGCTCTGAGCCCTGCCACAGCCCAGTCCTGGGGCTGCAGCAGGGAGCATTAGCAGAGGATTAGGGGAGCTTAGCCTCCCCCAGCCTCCATTACACACTGCCCATGTCTGTGCCCTCTCTGAAGAGTTACCATGGGGTTAGTGAAAAATCGGGATTGATGAATGGAGCAAATTATAGGATATGGCAAAAATACAAACACTTAAGTGCAAACCAGTAAATGCAAATGACGTATATAGTGTCCATGTTTATGAGTTTCATTTACTGTTGCTGCCAGTTAGTAGTAGGAGCTGCTTGTATACTTAAGAGCTTTGCTTAAAAACTAAAAGCAAGGTAATTTTGTGAGGGCCACCTTCTCCCATAGGAATGCTTCCAGAGGTTCTCCTGAAATATTATTTCTCACAGCCTGTTGATTGATGCTTTATGCCAGTGATGGGCAACCTGCGGGCCGTGCTGACTGCCACCTCCCACAGCTCCCATTGGCCGGAATGGCAAACCTCGGCCACTGGAAGCTGCGGGTGGACGTGCAAATGTAAACAAACTGTCTGGCGGTCCACCAGCGGATTATCCTGATGGGCCACATGCGGCCCATAGGCCACAGGTTGCCACCACTGCTTTATGCCATATACTGGGGCCAATATTCTTGCTATGCCATTAGTCTGTTTTACCCACTCCACTCAGCTTACTTCTCTCATCTGGGTGTAACAAAGGACCATGGTCAACAGCCTAGACCAGTGGCTCAAATGCAGGACTCAAAGCCCTCACTGTAGGATTGAGCCCTAATTTATTTTATGCCAGGAAGTGTTTCTTGGGAATTTTTCACCCAGAGAGCATCTGGGGCCAGTCATAGCGATAAACAGCATGCACAATACATGACAGCTGACTTTCAATGGACTATAGACATTGATTTTGATTAACAATTAACTAATTTATATACCATATGTACTGTAAATGTATACTGTACACATTTATTTATATGAAATGTAAGTGTTCTGTTCCTGAAAATGTTAAAGAACAACAAGTTACTCTGTATTATATGTTACACATACAATGTGGCATATGGCATCTGTGGATGAAAGAAAATGTACTATGAATTCTGTTAAAATGGCAGATTTTCTGTCATTCTGTCCCTGGACATTTGTGAAATAAGCTTTATAGTCTTAATAGCAAATGTCATACTACAGTATGTGTATAATAAACCAAATGTTAATTGTTTGGAAACTTTAACAACAGTTTGTCATTGATTTATTGACAGATAATGATTTATTGGCCAAACATATTGCTGGTATAACTATTGACATCCATGGAGTTACATCAGGGATGTATAGGACTGAACATCTTTAGATAGGTATGTTAATTACTTACAGCAGGATTCAGTATCAGAGGCTAAATACAGATAGTACATACAGCCCTGAGCCACATTATGAAATATTACAGATTTAGAAATTTTATTGAATAAAAGTAAGGATTACAGTAGATGTACAGCTGATGTGGGATGTGGTTTACAAAAGCATGATGGGTCTGATCATGCAAAAGGGTGAGGGTTGCTATATAAGGCTGAGCTCCCTTAACCCTCACCAAAGTTCCCCACATGCAACTTATGTGTAATATGCATACAAGGTGATAAATTGGTGGGATTATTAACTAGGGCCTAATGCAGCAGTCTTTTCTATTGAAGTCACTGAGAGTTTTCCATGTAGAATAATAGTATGGTCAATTACATTTCAAACCAAGTAGTTACAGGGGAAGTTGATAGTGAACCCTGTACTTGGGTTGCCTCACACTTACCTTATAAAAAGATTCTTGCAGCTTGTTTTGTTTTGTTTATTTGTTTGGTTGTTTGTTTTTGGAAAAACTCTAGCCCCTCCATTGTTTGCTGCTGGCCTTAAATTTAGTCAGGAGAAAGTCTTTGGAGAGGAGGCTTTTCTTTAACCCATGAAATTCCACTCAGGTTTAACTGAGTTGTGAACTGTTGAAACACACCACTTTGATTCTCTTGCTAGCATTGCACAGAAAAATTACGGCCACATGAAAAACTAATAAGCAAACACAAATATTCTAAAGACCCAGCCCCAAACAGCCACCAAAGTAGGAGCAGCAGCACATGCTATACTGTGAAAGCCTGGAACCTGCCAGAGCATCTGTAGCAGCTGGGCTTACCCCGCCCCGCAACCACCCCCAGCACATGGCTCGTACACAGGGCCGCCCGGGGGGAGGGGGGAACAAGTGGGGCAATTCACCCCACGCCCCCACGAGAATGTCGGAGGCTCCTCCTCACCTCCGCCTTCCCCCCTCTCCCGGAGCCTCAGCACGCTGCGTCTAGGAGTAGCCCTAGACAGTGCTGCAGCGGCGTGGTTTGGGCGGGGCCTGAGCTCCTGCCGCTCGGAGCCACTTGGTATGGGGGCGGGGCTGCGACCGGGCGACGGGAGCTCAGGCCCCACCACGCCGCTGCAGCGCTGTCCAGGGCCACTCCTGGACACGGCGCGCTGAGGCTCTGGGAGAGGGGAGGCGGGTGTAAGCAGCATGGTAAGCCCCTCTGAGCCGGACACCCCATCCCCCCCACAGCCCTGACCCCTACTTCCGAGCCCAGCCCCTCTGAGCCGGACACCCCCCTGACCCTCCCCCCCACAGCCCTGATCCCCAGCTCTGAGCCGAGCCCCTCTGAGCCAGGCACCCCCCTGGCCCCATTCCCCCACAGCCCAGACCCTCAGCTCCGAGCCGGGCACCCCCCGACCCAGAGCCCAGCTCCCC